AGATGAGACTAGACCTGAGGATTTGAGGATGAGGTGGGCGGCTGAGAGGGCTTCTGGGGAGCAGGTTAGGGTAATGGGGGGCAAGTGGCCAACTGCAGTGTTTAGTGTGTCAGCCCCCGGGTAGGTGTTCGGAGGCATAATCTCACTCTTGACACAGATTCGGTGGGTTTAAAAAACGCCATTGTGTCCATGAAAGACTTAAGCAAATGAATGATTGCTTTCCTCAGGGATCTTATCCGAGAGAGAGAGAGAGAGAGAGAGAGAGAGAGAGAGAGAGAGACCTGTTTGAGATCTTCAGATCTTCAAGGGGAGATTGGTCAGTACCTGGGCCTCACAGCCTCACTCAAAGCCCAGACAAGCATTCCTGGCCTGGCATTTGTACTTGCAGGCCACATTCCAGAAAAATACATGAAAGGCGAGGGTCCCCACCTCTGGCCCTTCTCCTGTCACAGTCTTGGCAGAAGGCCCTGAAGAAAGAGCCAGAGGCTATATACTGTGAAGGGTGGAGGGAGAAGGTTCTTGCCCTACAGAGGACGCTGGCTGGAGCCACGGGCTCCCAGGGCTTTCCTGGAACATGCTTTTTTCATGAACTACTAGCTACTTTCCTGAGAGGCTAGAAACCCAGGACTGGGCAGACTGAAACCAGACTTCAGAACGCATCCAAGTTTAACACCTCAGGATTCCGTTCCTGGGACTTAACTGTTATTATTTTTTTCCCTTTAGCAAGAAGACTTGATGAAGCCTTTCTTCCCAACCCATTCCCAGAAAGAACAGTTTAGATGACAGTTTTTAAAAAGGTATGGGGCAGGGTGTGTGTGTGATGGTTAATTTTTTTTTAATCTGACCCAATTAAACTTCTCTTTGTGGAACATTTGCTGTATGTGAGGTATTCTGCAAGCACAGCGCCCGAGACGGGGACAGAAAGCCAGACTGAGCAAGCCCAAGGAAAGTCTCTATCTGGGCCAGGTTAGAAAACTGATGGAAGAGAGAAAAGTTGCTTGAATTAGTGGTTTCCATGCCCTTCAACATTTAGACCCCCTCTTCTCTCCGCTATAGACTTTCTGAGTCTCAACTACTCATTAAGCAGCTGTTCCTCTTTTTTAAACATTTGTGTGTGCACTCAGGTCCTTTGGAAGAGCAGAAGGTACTCTTAACCACTGAGCCATCTCTCCAGCCCCAGAGCAGCTCATATGCTTGGAAGTTTGTAAAGAGGTGGCCAGCTGCAGTTTTTTGCTCATGGGATTCAGGGATGAAAGAGACAATCAAGTAAACAAACTAGGGCCATGGAAGGACAGCTGCCTGAAAGAGGGAGTCAGGGAATACTTGGAAGGTTGAAAGCTAAGCCTGAGAGCACTGTGCTAAGAGCAGAAGGGGGATGGACCTTGGCCTGATGGAGGCCCTGTAGCTGCCCAACAAGCAAAGGAAGGGAGGAAAGGGGGAAGCAAAGGCCAGGGTGAGGCTGAAGCCAGGTCCTTTAGGCTCTTGTGGGCTTTGTAAGGGTTCTTGTCTTTGTAGCCCACAGCCAGAAGCTACTGGACCAGCTTAAAGAATGCGGTGGCTGATGGATGGTTTTAAACGCTGCTTGGAGCATGTGGAAGAGGTTGGGAGTCATGGCGTAAACATGGGAAGGGAGGGTGTTTAAAGTCCGAGTGAGGAATGAATAATGGGATGTGGTAGGCTTTGCAAACCCCAACCCTGGTCTCTTGGCTAGGACCCTAGTTGAACCCCACATCATGAACACCCCAGAGGGCTTTGTGGTGGGTAATCAGGATCCTGGAGGCTCCTGACTATTGAAGTAAGACTTTTCAAAGAACAGAAAATATTCCATTGTTTAGTTCTTTGTGTGTATGCGTGTGCGTGCGTGCATGCATGTGCGCACACTGGCATGTTTAATTATATTTGTTCATTGGTGTTCTGCCTGAATAGTATGTCTGTGTGAGGGTGTATGACCCCCTGGAAATGGAGTTACAGGCAGTTGTGAGCATCCATGTGGGTGCTGAAAATTGAATTTGGGTCCTCTGGAAGAGCAGCCAGGGCTCTTTACTGCTGAGCCACTTCCTCACCCCACCCCTTTTCGGTGTGTTTTTTGAGGAGAGTCCCTTGTAGCCAAGGCTGGCTTTGAACTTGCTGTGTAACTGAGGATGACTTTGAACTCGTGATTCTTCTGTGTCCACCCCAGTGCTGCGATTACAGGTGTGCACCGCCACACCCCAGAGAGCAAACGGTTTTTCTCCAGTAACTGATTACCAAAGTATCTTGAGAAAGCAGAAATATCACTTTGAAATCTTCAAAGTCACATAGCATGCACACATATAAAACTGCCAAGTAAAATCCAACATCTCAAAGGGTGCTGTGTACGGCTTCGCATGTGCTTCAAGGTCTCTTCTGGGATGTTTGGAAGGAAAAACATCTAAGCAATGCTGTCAGCATGAAAAGCATTTGTATATCAGGAGCAGCCAACACCAAGTTCAAATATAACTTCTGCCAATAGGCAGCTGTGTAGACACGAGCACATTGCTTCTGGGGGCGGGGAGAGGTAGAGAAGGGAGAAAGGTAATTAGGGGTAAACATGGCCACTAGGCATGGTTGGCCATGGGTAAAGTCTACTCCCTGATGGTGTGACAGTGGGCAGACCACTTCAATCTTAGAGCCTTGGCTTCTTCCTTTGACAACTTCCTTTTGCTTTTGGAGGGTTCGCTGTACCTTTCCCATAACGCACTGCAGACCACGGGTCATTCATTGGGAGCGCTCAATAATGTCAGTTTGTCTCTGCCTCAGTTGCCAAGGGAAGGAGTTGGGTTTGACACCCTCCCTAAGTTGGCTCTGCGTTTATGTAAAAGCCTGCGGGAGAGTTACCCCACCCAGACAGATGGCTTGGGGTCTTGCTCCCATCCAAGCATGCTATCGTCCTCCCCGGTTTTCTCACCAGGGCCATCTTGTGGGTGGTGGTGTGAGTGTGGAGCTCAGGGTGGAGCAAAGCTATCGGGAGCCTTGTTTTTCTTAGAGGTGCCAGGGAAGGAAGGAGACTCTCCCTCTCCCTTGAGCTCTGGAAGAAAATCTAGTCCCCTGCCTTTCTTTCCAAAGCTATTCCTGGCTCCAGCTCCCAGGAATGCCTCTGGGGCTGCAAGAACATTCAGGCTCCAGCTCCAGAAAACGGTAAAAATAAACCATCTTCCTGTGTGTCCCAGAGCAGCCCGCCCATTAGGCCCTGGGGCCTGCTCCAGGCAGCTGTCACTGAGAGGCCACTGACTCCACTCTGTCCAGAGATGATCAGGCTGAAGAGAACAAGTGTTCTCCCTCCGAGAGGCTTGTGACTATAGTTCAGAGTAGAATAGAGGGGAACACTGTGACAGATGTGGCTCTGTGCCCTCCCCTGTCTAGCTGTCTCTTTGCTGTGGCTTTAGCTGTTCTCTGGGTTTATGTCTTGTAAAAGACACTCCACCTTTTTCCTGCCTTCTTCTTTCCCTCCTTCCCTTCCCCCCTCCTCCCCTCCCTCCTTCCCTCTCTTGCTAATCTGAAACATTTACACATCACAAATTTCCAGATCATATCAAAACTGCTTGAAAAATTCATTTCCATTCTGTCAGACACCCCCACCCACCTCCCAGATGTGCTTTAACAGGAGGGGGACACTGCTCAAGCTCTGGAGCTCAGGGCTCTTCCTGATTCTTCACTCCTTCCCCTCCCCCATCGCCTCTGCTTCCACCCTGCTTTGGTCTTGATGCTGACAACTGCCCAGGCTTTGGGGCTGTCTTTGGCTGCTCCGCTTGAAACAAGCTGGCCCCTCCTCAGCTCCTGGTCCGCTCTAGATCAGGACATCTTCTTTTCAGTACCAAGGAACCAGGGCCTCACCCCTGCCAGCTTTCTCCTTTTAATTCTGAGACAGAGTCTCGCTAAATTTCCCAGGCTCCCCTCACTGACTAATGTTTGTTTAAAAGGGAGCAGAGAGACACAAACATAGGTGATCAAACATTGTAGCTCTCGTGTCAGGCTTGCTCAGCGTAATCAATGCGTATTAGTGTTGTGCCAATGGCAGGCACTTCTGGAAAACTGCCCCAGATGCTGTGAAGGCCTCGTTCTCTTTCCTCTTCCCACTCAATGAGATGAGAGTTGTGGGAGCATCTGTACCGTGCAGATATACAAACCAGGGCTCTGATAATGTGCTCAAAGGCTGCGTGGGAGCCATGAAGCCAGCCACTCCTCAAGTCCATAACAAAAAGGAAGGCCGGAGATGGAAAGGCTCAGCACGGGAGCTGGTACTGAGATGGGACAAGTTGGGACTGAGATGACCATCAGCACCCGGCCACCCTTAGAAGCTTACCATGAATGCAAATTGTGCAGCCCTGCTTCTGAGCTACTCATGCATAAATTTAGGGGTTGGGCCTCAACTCTCTGCCTTTTAACAAGCAACTCCCACCCTGACTCTCAGAATGAATACTACCACTCTCTTCTAGCCCTTTGCTATTTGGATAGAAAAACTAGGGGTCAGTGAGGAAAAGGGACTAGCCTAAGGTCACAAAGCAAGTTACCACTGAAAGCCATCCCTGTGGTAGGAAGTCATGGCTGCCGTGTTTATTCTTCCTCCTGGGAAGAGAGCCCGTTGATGACTCTGTACCAGAGATGGTTTGTTGACAGGCCTTAAGCGAACCCCTTTAATACAATTCCTCATGTGGTGACCCCAAGCCATAAAATTATTTTCATATCCACTTCATAGCCGTAATTTTGCTGGTATTATGAATCATAATGCAAATACCTGTGTTTTTCGATGGTCTTAGATGACCCCAGTGATGCGGTCATTCAACTCCCAAAGGGGTCATGCATGACCCATAGGTTGAGAACCACTAGTCTAGATGGATGTCTGGGATGGAGGAATGAAAGACAGACAGAAATGCCCTGTACCCATGCCTCCTCCTCCTCCTTCTGATGCCTTTGGAATGACCAAGTAGTATGTCAGCACTGTGTCCACTCTCACCTGCCACAGCTCTTTTTTTCACCCCTAGGTGACCACCATGCTCTCCTGGGTGCTCTTGGCCTGTGCCCTTCCATGTGCTGCTGACCCAATGCTTGGAGCCTTTGCTCGAAGGGACTTCCAGAAGGGTGGCCCTCAACTAGTTTGCAGCCTGCCTGGTCCCCAAGGCCCGCCTGGCCCGCCAGGAGCACCAGGAACCTCAGGAATGGTGGGAAGAATGGGTTTTCCTGGTAAAGATGGCCAAGACGGCCAGGACGGAGACCGTGGAGACAGTGGAGAAGAAGGTAAGAGATCTATACCAGCTCTCTTGCCCCACCCAGGGTTGATAGCGTCTGTCATGGAGGGTGCTTCCGAGTTTCTAAAACTAAGCACCCATCACTATCTTTTCATAACCAAGGGGAAGAGAGCAGATGGAGACTATCAATCATGTGTTCCCGCCTCCGCTGAGCCTTTGAATTGCTAAGTGGTGAGTTGAGGCAAACCTGGAAGCTGTTATTCAAAGCACTTGGTTTGCAAGTGACATCAGCCCAATTAATAGGACCAATTGATATTACTTGACTCATGAAACTGAAGACCGAGAGCTGAGCTTCTGAAATGGCTTGGCCCAGGGGTTTAATTCTTCTTGTCGGGGGCTCTGCTTCTCCCTGTGTGTTAGTTTCATCCCCCTAAAAGCTGGATGAGCTGAAATGGCAGTTGATTCATCAGGTCTCCATTCCTACAGCTTCATCCATATCTATTTTTTCACCTTTTTGCAGGGAGATGTGGTACCACCATTTGCCAGTGATAGATCATATGCCATCTATGGATGTTTCTGAATGGGTAGTAGAAGCATGTGGTCACTGTAGCTGATAGCCCCACAGGACCCACACAGAGTAGGGGAGGGTTGTTTTCCAAATAGGGGATCAGGTAGTCAAGGAACAGATTGGATTCTATCTTTAGGCTCCTTCCACTTGACTTTCTGTCTATCTGTGACCTTTCACCTCTGCTCTTTATAACACCAGCATCCTCAAATGTACATCTGAAGCAGTTTTCTGTTCTCAGTGCTAGGAATTCAACCTGGGACCTTGTGGAGGTTAAGGATACCCTCCACCCTGCCAACCCCATCACAGCTTTGACTCACACAGCACTGTAACACTGACAAGGCACTTTGAGTAAGTCATTCACTGGATCACAAACAGCATCCTTTAAAGTAAATGCCCTTATTATTCCAAGTTTCAAATGAGATTAAGTGTCAGGGTGACAGGGTTAAGATGAGCATCTCATAGCTGCAAGAGCTTCAACCTGGATATTAATTTTCACAAGTGTCTTAACTTCCCCTAACCTTAGCATCCACAAATCTGCAACAGTGATAACAACAGTGTACCACAATACCTCACCAGAGTGGGTGAGGACGAACTGTGTGAAGCCAGTGTTACAATATTATTCACCGCCTAACCTGATTTGCTGAACTTAGACTCCAAATGCATGGTCTATCACACAAAACCAACTCATCCAAAGGGACCTCTTTCTAGGGAACGACCTCTGACAATAATGGAAACGTATAGACCCCAGGAGGTCTTGTGGGGGTGGGTGCAGTGGCTGTCACTACCCCACATTCTTTGACCCAGTGATATATTCAGGTTAGGCAGGGACTGCCTGAGCCTTTCTGGAGATTTGCTTCTGTCTCTATGTCAACCTCTCCTTGATCAGGAGCAAGGAGGGAGCAGGTCTGGGATTCTTTGGGCTGTCTCTCCTGCCAGAGATCAAGGGACTGCTAAAGAAGGCAGTGTTGAGAGGCAGAAACGGAGCAGCCAGATTTGGCAACCTCACCAAATCCCAGGTCAACCTTGGGACTGGAGCAGGCTAATGTCTAGCCATGCCTCCAACCAGCAAACGTAACCCCATCTCTAGAAAGATCTCAGGAAGGAAAGTCGGTGCTTCCTGAAGCCTTTCCGAAGGAAACAAAGCAGGAAGCAGATCACACAGCCTGAGAGCTGAACTCTGGTCCTTTGCAAGTGCTCTTGATGGCTCAACCATCTTCCCAGTCCTTAATTTCCATTTTTATCAAGGACTTGCCTAGTTTTGTTTTTCCGCCATTGATTGTTCATCCCCCTTTGGTGCTAAGCCTGTGCTCTACCACTGGCCTAAATGTCCCACCCTCATTTTATTAATTAAGTGTATAAGTAAATGGCTTTGCATATTAACTGTATAAGTAAATGCACTCTGTGGTTTGAGGTGCCTACAGAAAAGTCCAGAAGGTGCACACCTGATTGATGTACAGTGGTTTTGTCTAGAGAATGAAAGAAAGACAAGGAGTGGTTAAGGAGGGCCCCTCGTGTATACGTGCCATCTGAATTTTATCACCAGGACACTATCTGTGTGCTACTTATACAGCTCAAAAATGGCTCCCGGCTGGAGAGATGTTTCCATGGTTAAGAACACTGGTTGCCCTTCCAGAGGATCTGAGTCTGCTCCAGTTCCAGGAAATTTGGTGCCCTTTTCTAGCCTTAGGGACCACATAGGAACCAGGCACATGGGCAGTACACATACATACATACAAGGAACACACACATAAACGTAAAATAAAATCATTTGAAAATGGCTCCTGAAAATTAGACTCTCAATTAAGAAATGTTATTTGGAAGGCTATTTCCCTATTATTTAAGGTAATACATGTTTAAACATATGACATTAAACTCAAGACTAAAATATAATGTGCACATCAAGTCACGTCAGGACTAAGTGCATCCTCGTCCGCTGAAGCTGGGCAGGGCTGCCCTGCCAGGGAGAAGTGATGGAAAAAGCAGAGAGTCCGTGTCATAGTCCCTGATCTCTTTACTGGAAAACCCACCTGAAGCTGCCCATTGGCTACATATGTGTATCGGGCCTAGGTCCAGTTCATCCATGGCTCTTGGCTGTTGCTCCAGTCTCCGTAAGCACCATTGGGCCCAGGTTAGTTGACTCTGTTGCCCTTCTTGTGGAGCTCTTGTCCCCTCTGGGCCCTTCTATCCTTCCCCTCTTTCTTCCACAAGGCTCTCTGAGCTCTGCCTAATTTTTGCCTGTGAGTCTTTCTTAATTAGTGATAGATGGGAGAGGGCTGAGCTCATTGTAAGTGGTGCCATCCCTGGGCTGGTGATCTTTAAGAAAGCAGGCTTATCAAACCATGGAGAGCAAGCTATTCATTAAGCAGCACCCCTTCATGGACCCTGTGTAGCTCATGACTCCAGGTTCTTGCCCTGTTTGAATTCCTCTCCTCTGCCTTCCTTCAATGATCAACAGTGTTGTGGAATTGTAAGCCAAATAAACCTTCTCCTCCCTTTCTTTTATTATGGTGTTGTTGCAGCAATAGAACCCCTAAGACACCAAGGCAACTCTTATAAAAGAAAGCATTTAACTGGGGGGTTGCTTGCAGCTTTAGAGGTTTATGCCATTATCATCACAGGGAGCATGGTGGTGGGCAGGTGTAGGGAATGAGAGGAGGGCTTTGCATCCAGATCCACAAGCAGAGGGAGAGAGACTGGGCCTGGAATGGGCTTTTGAAACCTCATAGACCACCCCTAGGGCATACCTCCTCCAATAAGACCTCTTAAGCCTTCCCTGACAGCTTATCACCTGGAAACTGAGCATGCATGAGTCCATGGGAGCCATTCTCATTCCAGCCACCACATTCCACTCTCTGGCCCCTCTAAGGTTTGCAGCCATGATCATAACGTGTATCGTAATGCAAAATGCATTCAGTCCAACTTCAAAAGTCCCCATAGTCTTAAGGCTGTTTAAAAGCCCAAAGTCTCTTGTGAGACTCAAGGCCATCTCTTAATTGTAATGCCTGGAGGATCAAAACAAAAAAGCAGCCCACACTCTTCTCATATACAGTGGCACTCAGGATATACATTACTGTTCCCAGAAGGGAGGAAAGGGAGGATAGTGAGGAAATACTAGATCAAAGCAAGACTGAAAACCGTCAGGGCAAACTCCAAATCCTGTATCTCCACATCTGATGTCAAAGCATTCTCCAGAACTCCGGCTCCTTCCAGTTTTGTTGACTGCCACAATTACAAATGGGCTTGTTTTAGCTAAGTTTACATGACATGGGCTGGATGGTCCAAAATGATGGAAAGGCTGAGCACTCAGCAGCTGCTCAGTCCAAATCTGGCACTAAAGGCCCAGAGGGTTCCTGGAGAGCCACAAGTCTTCAGTCTGCAGTGGAAGGCTGAAGAGGCTGCTAATGTCTGCCGAGGATGGCCGCAGCAGTAGCAACAGGGTGGACACATTCACCAGGTGAGGGTGAAGGCGGGCAGGCAGCAGCAGCCTTTCCCCAAGAAACTCTTTTCATCCAGGACACAGCCAGAAGGTGCTGTCCACTGTAAGACAGTGTCTTCCTCATTCAGTTAATGCTTTCCTCACAGGCCTGCCCAGAGGTACGCCATCTGCCTGATTCCGATCCAATCAGACTGACCACCAAGATTAGCCATTGCACAGTAAAACGCTTACATACTATATAGAAGCAACAGAGTGCCTTGTCAGGGTGTAAAAGTCCCACGATGTTTCTCCCAGCCGCCACTTCAGTGCAGGTAACCATCACTACCCCGTGCCTGGCAATGCTCATGTACTTTGATGGGAATTGGGCACGCCTTTCATTGCCTTTGCATGCAGTCCTGTCATTTTGACAATGCCTGGCTGTGCTGAGGTAGAACACAAGCCCGCTTCCATATATGCTCAGCTTAAAATGTGTTGAGGGGGGATTGGGAGGGGAAGAGAGAGGGAGCTACAGGAGGGATACAAAATAAATAAAGTGTAATTAATAAAAAAAGTTTTTTTAAATGTGTTGAGGGGCCAGGCTTGGTAGCTCTCTTGGCATCCCAGTAAATGGGAGATGGGAGAAGGCTCAGCAGTGTAAAGCCAGTCTTGGCTTTGCAGTGAATTCATACCACCCCTGGGCCACATGAGACTATCGTGTTAAAAGATCATAATACATGAATGTTTCATATACAATCATTGGCACAAAGGTGCTGTTTTGTAGGAGAATGTATATTTTATGAAATAGCAGCATTAAAAACCAAGAAGCGTTCTCTGAGCGAACATCTGGGGATGTTCTGCATGATTTACCAAATGATGTTTGACAGTTACTTGGTGTTTGCCAGGCTCTGTCATGTGCGTTCAGAAAACACAGGCATCAGTAGCATTGTTGTTTTCCTGTCACATGGAAGTTTCTGCCACCTGCTGCTGTTTCCCCTCGGTGGACCTCACAGATATCTTTATGCAGCGTGTAAATCCACCTCCTTCTTTTTATTTTTTTTTGAGATGGAGGCTTATGAAGCCCAGACTAGCGTCAAGCTCACTATGTAGCCAAGATGATGATGAATTCCTGATCACACACACACACACACACACACACACACACACACACACACACAC